TGAATGAGTTGCAACATTACAGCAATGCTCTTTTCACCTAGACTTACTGCCTCCAACAGTAAGATATACATAAATCCAGGCCCTCTGGACATGGAAAAGAAAAAAAACTACAGGGCATATTTTGCATATCACCATAATTTGATGGTCTGTGATTTCTCAAGAAAACAGAAATGTGAGAAACATGCTGACAGTTCAGTCTAATTCCAGAAATCTTTTGACTATGTTGTAGTTGCAACTTGTGAGTACTGCACATAAAAATAATTTCCCTTGACCTAAAGAAAAAGGGATTTTTTTTTTTAGATGAGGTGAAACCCCTTTGCATCACTAAGCAATATGGAGCTAAAATTTACTTTATACACTGCTCTCCGTGACAGGATATTTGTGAGCATATGTTCAAGAGACAGATGCAGGTTTAATGAAGCTGGCATGGCTTGATCATTTGAAAAGGTCTTTCCTAACGTACAATGTATGAAGGCACAAATAATGTTGTAGCCCTATGTGTAATAGGTACAATAAGACATGGTTATCCTACAGACTATACCAGCTACTCTGAGCACAATAGCAGCATCTTCATAATGCGTGTGATCCTCTGTCCTAACCCAGGATCACATGTTGACTTTCCTGCCCCGGGGTTCAGACCAGAATAACTCTGAAAAATTATACAAAGACAGCTGGACTTCAGAAATAATACACGAAAAATAAAAAGATATTTTCCAATATCATCAGGCAGAAGAAAATGCGCACAAGCTATTAAAAATATATAACCTTTGGGGAAAAGGGCAAAAAGACTGGGTTTTATCAACTCCCTTGAAGGTGGAACTTCATTATTATTCTCATTTTAGATTTCCTTAACATCAAGAAACATTTTCGCTTTCAAACCTCACGCAGCTGAGCTGACAAAACACCTTGCACAATAGCATTTCTTTGTTTGTATTCACTAATTGTCTTTCTTATTCTTGATGGATAAATGTTATAAATCCTAAATTTAAGATGCTAATTGGCCATGCCCTGCTTACTTCACAAAGCAAAACTCTTCAGCAACAAACTCTGGGGCAGGCTGTTCCAGCTTCTCGACAAGAGGAGATGAGGTTCTGTTACTGGGGCTTATATAGGTGCCAGATGGCAAAACCCCCTTGTAGTGCTATGGTAAAGTGAAAGAAAACACCAAGGCAGGACAGAACTGACCTTAGACCAACCCATGGAGAGCTCTAACAGTTTAAGAACAGAGATAAAAGTCTGGAAAACAGAAGTCTTCTCATTAATGTTCTCAGATCAGTGAATGATATGCTATGTGGAAAAAAATATTGAGTACAATGTTGTTGGTCTCTTCTTCGCCCAGATTCCCTACCTACAAATATGGCTGCCTACATACACACAGCTGCATGAGCAGGGGCTGAGTTTCCAAGATTTTATCAAAATTTCAAAGAATCCTGAACTTCACATTTCTGCAAAACAAACTGCAGTTGTAAGGATCTTGGCCATAGCCCCATCTCCACGTTTGCTAACATACCTCACAGGGAACCTGTGAGAATTCTTTAGCTGGGACAGGAATTCACACAAAAGGGGATTCAACACGGCTCCCAGCCCATCTATTTCTACTCCTATAATCATGAGTAACAGAGCTGGACCTTATATTCGCTTCTTTACTTGATACAAGAGTACATAGAGCAGGAGCATAAGATAAGCAGATGATGCCAGGGACTCTGAAAGACATGCTGCAGATGCATCTTCTCTTACCTCCTGCCATACTCTGTCTCTAAAGATACTTAAAGACTGCCTTGGAAGCAGTATCTTCAAATCCCTCCTATTTGTATGTTTATTAAACACTTATTTATCTTTCTCCAGGGGGACAACAGAAATGCTTGACTTTTTACACCAGAGTCCCATCTCTAGCCTCCACAGGTTACACTCAGTCATTTATGAAAGGCGTCTTGTTTTCCTTCCAGTTGGCAGGCAGTTTAAGTTCTGCGCTGATTGGTGACAATTTTAGATGATTTTCCTCTGATTTTCCCCTTTCCACTCTCTGCACTGCCCAGCTCTGCTAGGTTTCATCCATCCCACTTCAGCCTGGGAGCGCTGCCTGACACATTACCAGAGGCAGCTCAAAACCAGCCCATACAATAACATCGCTCTGGATCTCCACCACCTTTTTGCCCATGCTGCTTGCCCAGACAGACCTGCTTCAGGCGAAATGCTAATGCAATTCTTTCCAAAAACATATCCCCTTGTTTTTTTCCAATCTAGCAATAGTACATAGAAAATATCAATGGTTTTGGTCTTCCTGAAATTTTCTCTCACCCTTGCAAAAAAGAAAGGACATCTTTTTGCAATCCCATTATTACACGTGTGTATGGTTATAAGAAAATGCTCTGAAGGGACATCAAGCAAATAATAATACGAATTTTCAAAATTCTATAGCAATGTATTTATACAAATTACAGAATTCTGTATGTATTTACACACCATTACAGAATACCAAGTAAACAACATCAATTGTTCTTTTGTTTTTCCCTCAGATTTTTCCAGTGAATTTTAGTGCTCAAGACAGGTGCCAGATGGATAGCACTAGAAAATGAAGACTTCTGTCTGTCCACAGCACAGGAGGAGCGGCACTGCAAGACTCCGTGCTTTGCCATCTCAGCTCTCTCCAGCCCTGTTTTAGCAGGATCACGTAAGGAGTGGGAGAGGATCCATGCCCCTTCACGCCTTGGCAAAGGAGCTAAGCAGCACCCAGGTGACGATGGCTTTGCCCATTTCCCGCCAGAAAATGAACAGAAAGATCTCATTTTACACAAGTGACTGAATCTGTTGTTCGCTACCCGAAACAGGCTGAATTTGACCCAGTGAACCTGCAGGGAGTGGCAAACTGCCAGCTCCTGGACCATCCAGTCTCGCAATAATGCCTATGTTAAATTACAAGTTTCTATATTTACATAAAGTCAGTATTTACACACCATTATGGGTTATTTGAGTAGTTCGGTTACAGTTTATTTATATGGACTGTCATAAACTCATAACATTTTTCTTGGGTTTAATCCTTTCTTTAGAAAAATACAAAAAAAAATAAATTAAATAAAACATGTTAACTAGTAGTAATGATTTGCCTATGATTAAAAATCCAAGTTGATTTAACATTAAGACTAAAACTGTGGCCTAGCATTATGGCCCCAACTCATAGTATTTTTAACCTTTGGAACACAACTAATTGTGTGGTGTATGTCAGATTACTGAAAAAGCAGAGTTGTAACATCCCTTCCTTGCAGTGGGATTATCTGTTCAACACGGAGCGACGAAGCCCAGCCCTACCCAGACGCTCGCTTTCTTCTCCTATGGTCCAGCATGGCTTTGCACTGCCGAGATGAACTGTTCGGCAGCCGGTCGACCCACAGCAGCCAGACTGCCTGCAGGTCTCAGCAGCTCCAAAGGGTTAAAAAAAAAACTCATGGGCTGCAGTTGCAGGCTGTAAATTCCCAGACAATAACAGTCCCTGGACAAGTATGTCTAACTGTGTCCTACAAATCAACTAACATAATTTACATTTCCTTATCATTCATAAACAATTATAATAAAATGCCATGTTTTATTTAAGATTACTGGTATCACTGGTTGAGACATGGCCCCTCCTACCTGCTCGAGTACAGAAAGCTCACGTTCATTCAGGACACCAAGCCAGAGGTCATTCCAGAAAATAATTACATTTCAAATAATAGATATCACATGGACAAGAGTGCCTTAGAGCAAAAATTGCTTAATTATGAACAGGCTACAAACTTATGTATAGGTCCTCCAAAGCACGTCTGCGCTCAGCCTCCGCTCCTCTGTGGGCAGCCGGGGATGTCAGGACCAGCCACGCTCCCGACAGATCCAATGGCAAAGGTTACACTCAACTTACAATGGCACCGGATTCAAATCCTAGGGATAAAACAACTACAAAATGCATGTCATATGGACCTTACATGATTTTTCTCTCTTTTTTTTTTCCTTCAGGGTACTGTAGAAAACATGCCTCTTCCTAAGGGTTAATTCCCACATGCTAATTGCTAATCAACATGTTTGTGTGCTTAACGTAAGATGCTACAATCCCTTAAATATTACATACTGTCAGCTCACTTATGGTTCATGAATATTTGAACATACTTTAGGAAAAAAAAAAAGTCTAATACTGTCCCTCTCATTGTCATTATTGATAAGAGATTTATTAGTTTCATTTTGCAAGTTTTACTTTAGGAAGGGTGCTAATATCACACTGAAAGCAATTTTCCATAAAAGATGTTACAATGACCCCTATGGAACTTGTATAATTTCATAGTAGATAGTCAAGTGCACAAATAAACATGTTTACAAGAGTGATCCTGTTAACCTGGTTCTTGCCCTCTGAAACCATTATTGCTATTTGTGGAATTTTAAAATTAGTACAATTGTTGATATTACTTATGTTGTTTCTGGCATTCTGCTTTAGGAAAAAAAAAAAAAGCATATTTATTATTTAGCTTTGGTATAATCAGCAATAGGTTTTAACAAGTAGAATATATTCCAACCCCTATATTCTCCACAGCTGTGAAGTTTACAATGATGTAAGAAGTCACTTTTATCAGAGAGAAAATATTACAGACACATAAAAGAAGTTGAAGACCCAGTTTTCTCTTTAATCCTCTGGGGGTAAGCTATGAAACAAGCAGTCAGAAGAGTGAGGACTCAGTGTCATGAGTGGTGTGCATACTTGTACAATAATACAGGCACAAAAGAGATTGTCGCCTTTAGTACATGAGGGTCACTAGAATTTATTATTATTATTACCTTTTTATTAGGTTTTTTTTTCATCCATGCACCTTTATATTTACTTGCATGAATTTACCACAGGTTCATAGTGGCCTTTGCCATTTTAATGCTTACAGAGCCTAAAGCTTCCAAAATGCCTATCTGGCCTGTACATATTTCATTAAAAATAAACTCTATATAATAAATAAATATATAAAATAAATAAAATGTTGCCTTTGGAATTTCTATAAATAAATTTAACTTTTTATTTTTATTTTTTTACTAAGAGGTCTTTGCTTTAAACTCAATGGGGTGAGACCCAGAGAGTGATTAACTGAAAAGTCTCTTGTTTAAGTAAGACTGCACCCTCCATGCCTTTGTAAATGCAGCGTAGACTTGAGCAGGCCACCAGTCAAAATCCTGATGAATCAACGTATGGCAGCTATGCTGATATATGACGAAGTACAACTGATCAAAAATTTAAAAGCGTGTCTATTCCCCAGCATGCATCAGGCCTTCCTCCTCCTCCTCCTCCCCTTGGCTCCTCTCTCGCGTGCTCTCACTCCCATTCACCCTCTCCCTTTCTCTCTCTCTCTCTCACTCACTCTCTCGCGCTCCCTCTTGTACTAAATCAAGCGAGTGGGCATAGGCTCTCCTCCAGGAGGACAAACCTTCAAGTGCAGAAGAAAATCAGCATGTTCCATCCAAGCCTCCATCATATATTATGCATGCGACAAAGTTTGGCAACAGTGGAGCTGATGTGATGACACAGCTAATCAATAAGAACCCATCGCATGAAACCTTTATAGTGGTTACTTTTTAAGGGCTCAAGTGAAGGAATTGTCTTTGTCAACTTTGGCTTAAAATATCCTTATATAGTTCCGGTACTTTCTCAGGGTCCACTGGTCTAGGTAAAAAATGTGTAAATTTTTGATGCCGTTTAGTCCTAGTCCCTTCTCTTGGAGTCCCATCTTTATTTAACGCAACATAGTATCGTCTTCCAGTGTCCACGTGTTTATATAGATTTGATGAATATGTGTTATACCAGTTTTCTTCAAACTGCTCTCTGAATACGCACTCCTGGGTTAATTTTTCCTATAGAGAGAAAAGAAAAAGTAGTAAGGAGATAGATAACCAGAAAAAGAAGCTATTTTTAAAAGAATTACTATTTTCACAGCTTGAAATCAGTATCTCCTTGCTCAATTTGCAAAATGAACCATTTCAATATTCTCAGTTTCAGCTAAGTAAAGCTGTGTTGCTGGGTATTTCATTAAGCAGTCACAAGGGTGGATAACTCTGTGGGCAGCAAAAATGATTCCCCAAAAGCCTTGTTCTGCAAATCAAATCAGCAACAAGAAGACTGAAAACAGATATCTGAATTTCTGATCTTTCCCAAGCAGCTCACAAGACATTACTGGACTTGTATAATTAATTGCTTCAATCGTGAGTGCAGGCATTGGAACAAACAGACATGAATAAAGAAAACTAGAACTGGTTTGCAGGGCTGCAATACAGTTTAGGGCCTTAAAATTGCTATGTCCTTCCATTGCATAGAGAATTAGATGCACTTCATTAATTTAAAAAGATACAACGTACTACCCTTCATTTGGTTTATTATTTGTATCACAGAACCACAACCCAAGAGAGCTTCAAGCAGGAGCACAAACCCCACGTGCTGAGATGCAGTTAGGTGAGGAAACTGCTCCAGGCTTGCTTTAATAGGGTTGTCCTCGTGCCCTGTCCTACTCATGGGACCCAACTGAAGACATCAACCATTCATCAGATCCCCACATACTCCCATTCCTTCCAGTTCACCCACTTCTTCACTCCATATGTACCTCTCTACATCCTTTCGGTCTAAATAGACAGGGTTTACTTAACAAGCAGCCACCTGATAACCAGATTTATTTTAGGAAGGGCTCACACAAGTGACTGAGAAAGAAGACTGAAAAAAAGGTGGTAAGCTCTAGCATGGGAAAGCTGATGGAAAGCTGGGAAAAACTAAGCCTGGAAATAGTCTTTTCAGCTAGCACACAAAAATATAATAATGACAATTTAGTACATTTTTTTGTAACAAGTTCTCACTTGAATAGCACTCACATCGACCAAACTCAGCATCCAGCTGAGGATCAATTTCTGACTATGACAAAGCTCCACACAATGCAGACCTCTGTGCATGTGTTTTACAGACATTAAATCTTCAAGCAGTTCTTTTAGATAGATACACAGAGAAGGCAAAACGGAGACCAAGGCCCAGAGGCAGCAAAGCATTTACGGCACCTAAGCCATAAATGTGTGCCAGAACACCACTGCTAAGGAGCCACAGCTCAAGCTTCACTGCCCCCAAGAAGCCACCATCCATGGCTTAATCCAGGAGCTTCCCAAAACCCACCATCATCAAAGCTGGCAGCTTGCCCTGGGGCTGCAGGTGCCTTTGGGGCCACCTCTGCTGCTCAGGACTTGGCTCACAACCCCTTCCCAAAGCGATGTGCTTCAGCCCAGATGTTTCACTGCTGCTTTTCACGGCAAGCACGCTGCTCCTGGGGTAGAGCTCTGCAGCTCCTCTGCACCCCTACGAACTGGCTACGAGGTTGCAAAGCCTGGATCCGCAGTGCCTAAAGGCTTGGCATTTGGAGGTTTCTTCAAAATTCAACCTGTGCAACTCCAGTAGGCGAGAAAGACAGCAAGTAAGCAGCTCCTGACTTCTTCTTTGATGGGCACTGGGAACCTCATCGCCCCTCAGGAAGGAGAAATCCCCAACAGGACCAGGTTTCGGAAGTTAAACACTTCAGTATTCACTACTGAAGCAGCCATGCCCTTGTGTGGACCCGGGTGGCTGCGAAGTAAGCAGCTCCTGACTTCTTCTTTGATGGGCACTGGGAACCTCATCGCCCCTCAGGAAGGAGAAATCCCCAACAGGACCAGGTTTCGGAAGTTAAACACTTCAGTATTCCTTGCTCACGCAGCCATGCCCTTGTGTGGACCCGGGTGGCTGCGGCTCGCACAGTCGCAGGAGGAACGTGTGGCAGAGAAGATGGCAGCCCCACCCCTCACAGCCTCCCCTGCGGTTCGACCCAGAGAATTCCCTGCCTGTGGGTCCAGCTGAGCAGCGTGTGCAGAATTGTGAGCACGTGCGCAGGCTGCCTGTATATCACAATTTATTTTAGAGGCATTTCTGACTAAAATGTTTTTAATGTGTGAGGTACCTCTAACACGGCAACACTCCATACGGGTTATAGGGAAAAGAAGCACAGATCTGTTTACACTAAATCCTTATCTGGGGGCCAGATCCTGCACCCTCCTATTGATAATTGCCTCTATGTCCTTCGACAGCTAGAAACTGCAGCAGCAATGAATATTACTGGACTTCAGTAGCAGCTGGAAGTTACACGCATTGCAGTAGTCCCCTGTACAGCCTCAGTGTGCAAACTATTATAAAAACTATTCAGCTACTATAAAGATTTTCTTCAAGTACAGCTTTCATTAGCGTTGTATTCTGCATCAGATTTAAAATCACTTTCTTTGCTTTAAGGCAGAAGCAGATGCTAAGGAGTATTATACACGGGGCTTATAAGTCCATGGGGAAAGAGCAACCGATTCAAATTGTTTTCTTGCTGTCAGAAGGCAATAGGATCACATGACAAGCACTGCAGAAGCACTCCCTGCTAAAAATAGCAACATTTTAGGAAGATATTTCAGTCCTGTCTTGAATTCATTAATTATTCACCTGATCTGCATTTTTTTTAGCATCATCATAAATTTCTGTCTTTGCAAGAACAGTACTTCCCCATGCCCCGGAGGAGAAATTTTAAAATAGCCTCTCTTTTTCTGTCAGGTTTGATGGATCATGACAGTGCTGTGGTACATTTAACTAGCAGACCTTGAATAAGGAGGTTTGCATTGTACTGTGCTCTGGATGAGTCCAATGGATTTCAACCTTACAAATTCAATCTTTATTTTACAAGCTTATCCTGTTTCTACTTTTCATCCTCTTATAACACAGCTACATCTCTTTTCTCCTTCATCAAAATTCTCAGAAATTCATGCGTAGAGAGTAGGCAAATACTTCAACACAAACTTGACACAGCCATCAGGATGCAGGTTCAGATACGTAGGGACACTAACAATCACACTTTCAGAGAAGTGAAATAATATCTTTATAAATTCATCAAACTGTTTCCTTCTAGGACACCTAGAAATTCTGGTTGTAGTCAGAGACCAGTGGAGTAAATCGGTATCGGTGACTTTGGATCAGGCCCTGTAAATAATGTGGGGACCAAAACCCCAGCATATCCTTCTTCCCTTGCCCTGGGAGATCCTTACCACAGTGGCTCATCTAGTACCACAACAAACAGAAACCAACTTCCACCAGGATAGTCAGCTACGTAGAATCATAGAATCATTTAGGTTGGAAAAGACCTTTAAGACCATTGAGTCCAGCCATTAACCTAACACTGCCAAGTCCACCACTAAACCATGTACTATCACAACACTACTTAACACTAGCTTATACTCATGTTTTGAGCACACATGCCTTTATTCAAGCCAGAAATGAGCATAACACAGGGGTGCGGCTGGTCCACCCTGCCAACAAGCACCTTCTTGCCTCACCAGCTTAGGATGGGAAAGTTTTGCTGAAAGCCAGCTCTCCCAGTACGGGAAGGAGACGGTGTTTTGTGATCACAAGTGGCTTGCATTTCCCCTTCTGGCTAAGACTTCTAGAAAGCCCCCGTACACACAGTCAAAAAGCAAGATTTAGCCCTAGAATACAGACATTTTTGCATACTGTTATTCTAGCAACAGATTTTTCTATCATTTTTCCAGTGCAAATATTTCCTCGCACCATACTTACTGTCACTAGACATCTTTGCCAAAGACTGACACAAATACCAAACATACCCAACTGGAACAGCTATGGAAAGCAACCTGCATTCCTGTGAAAGGGGAGGCTGCCTGGCTTGTTCAAGTCATTTAATTCAAGGGCCAAATAAGGAGGTGGCCTCAAAATTACATAAATCAGATGTTGCACCACATAGTACATGTTTTCTATGAGGACTGTTCATAGAATATTCCACTACAAAGTGACTGATGCTCATTTTACTACATTTCCACACTTTACCTGGGGTTTTTTTTAACCTGTTATTTAATTTTGAACATTCAAATAATTGAATTGTGCAAAGATGCACATATCACAAGGGCAGAAACCCAAGGCAGATTTAATTCAGAAGTCTGCTAATTTCTGGTCAGTGTTAGCAAGCCCTGAATCCCTTTTCCTTCCTGCATCCTCCACCATCCAGCCAGGGAGAAAAATAATTATGTTATCCTATTTCCAGGCAGATTAGCTAAAAGTGAGATTGTAAATTAATAGAGTAGATAGTTACAGCCACCACAATGAAAGATTTGCTAGCTTCTTTAAAAATAGATACCCCTGTGAAGCAGCTAATTGGAAATAAGTGGATATAGACCATACACATGTACAATGCCCAGAGAACGGTTTGATGACTAAAGAATGGTAAGACATTTGTGCTGCTTAGTAGTTGGAAGCACAGTAAAGTCCTGTACAAAACACATCTTTTTTTTTCTTTTAAATAACCTTACAGAGTTTAAACTCCAATTTATTTAACCTGACAAAAGGAAACCTCTTCAGACCATCATTCCTAAGATCATAGCAAATATATTTCATGTCTAGCAAACTGTTCTGTTCTATGCTACACGTAGTTTTCCCTTTTGCAAATGGCTACACTTATTCAATAGAGACACTTCACAAGAAAACACCTAATCCAGAAGTCCAAACAACTATTAACAACTAGCACATCTGATTTAGTCAGCACTTCCTATATACCTCCTGCACGTTATCACCGTGTTAATCCACCCTGTCTTAATGAAATCATGTTTAAATATATAGTCTCCTAAATAAGTTCATGCAAATTCTTCATTATGGCTATATGATGTTACTAAAAACTGCATATGTAGTAAAGAAAAACAACAAGAAACCCCCCCTACTCTCTTCCAAAGTGGTTTTCTTTGCTGTTCTGCCTACAAACACGCACATTTTACGTGCAGCTGGCCCTTCCCATGCTGCAACGCAAACAACC